ATAACTCTTTAATCTCTGTACCATTAGCAACTGGTTGACAAACACGGTTGTCTCGGTGCTAGGATTCAGTAATACTTGAATGGCAAAGAGCGGTTGCAGGCAATGAGTAATGGACTCCATTCTAGTTTTTTCAGGGCAAAGACTCTCGATCTCCAGATTGCACAACTTTTTCAGAGAATCATCTATCAGTACCACAGACTTTTGAGTCTGTGGTACCGTCTTCAGTAACGTCTCGATTTCCTGGCATTTTTTTACAACTTCTATGTATAGATCTAAAAAAAGATGCGTAAATAAATTTAAAAAACTATACAAAAATTAATAACTACACAAAACTATACAAAATAAATACAAATTGGATATAAATTTGTATTTATTTTGTATAGTTTTGTGTAGTTATTAATTTTTGTATAGTCAATTAACTGCATAAAAATTTTAAAAGCATCAGCCTTAGTCATACCTTTGTCATCATATTTAGCTAAATACATCATTGCGCATAAAAAGTCCGAATTCAGCATTTGCTGCAAAATACTAGCAGGTTTGTCTACAAGCTCGCTCGGATATGGAATGAAAGGATTGCTCTGGAGAGTCTTCGTTAAAGTATGTAGGTAACATTGCAGAAGCCAATGTACAATAGATAAGACTGCTGCTGCCAAAAGGTCTTCTTCTGGTTTACCACGACACGTGATACCAACTCGAATGGACTCCAAAAACTCCAGCAAACTCACAATGCAATAGGGCTTGTAAAACGCGTCGTATTTACTTATTCGCTGCAAAACTGCAGCGTATGACACCAGCTGCAAGATGACTTGAAGTACAAATCATTGATATACATATAATTTGGATATTTTCTGGAATATGTAATAAACAAACCTGAGAGCTTAAGGAGTGCTTCAGATATGACAGTACTAACTGATTAGGTCCTGGTCCTACTAACGCTTGTTGTAATATACAGTCTGCTAAGTTATATACATCGCCGCTTACTCCTCTTGGCAGAATCTGAAGATTTGTCTCAATTTTAGGAAACATTTAGGATTAAAAAAAACAAATGGGAAGCATGTCTATTATCAAAGATAAAATGCTGACATTTACCGTTTTAATATTAATTCCCCATTGCAGATCGGTCCAGCGCTCTCGCCAAGCTCGTAACAAAAGAGCTTTTAAGCTGCTAGTTTTACTGGTCACTTTGGTTTCCATTGGTAATGTTAAAATATATTACATAATTTCTGTTATATTGCAGAAATGATTAACAGTTTGCAGTGAACAAAACATAGTACTGTTAAAAAGTTTACATCAGCTGTAAATAGAAAGTTATTAAATTTCTGAAAACATACATCAATCAATTACTTCTACTGATTAAGCAGCATTTTACAAAAAAATGTTTAGACCTAAACTATGTTACTATGTTTACAATGTATAATTTAACTTTACTGATGTAATACTTTTTAACTAATTACTCAAGTAAGGCGTTCTTACTATCTCAGCATTCTTATATCTCAATTTTCATTGTCCTCTTTGATGATTTACAATCTTAAAAAATGGATAATATTATATACATCCTTTACTGATAAAAATACATGTAAAAACATTTGCTTAAATTACAAAACAATTCACGTTAAATAGCACTCGTATATTTAATGAATTTATATAAGACTAGAATGTGTCCTGGACACTTCGCCTGAATAATCAAGAGATAATAATTATTCGAACTTTTATAGACTATCTTTCCGGCATTCGTAAAATCTTAATTCTTGAAGTGACAAGTGAGTGGCTTTCAGCGGCCTCGGAACACGTGGAACACGTACAGCGTCGATACGATCAGTATCGAACAATCGAACATGGCCACCGTGTAATGGTGGCGAGTTTCATAAATGACGTAAGAGTATCGAAATCAAAGTGGGGGGGGGGGGACGCGGTAAATCAAAATAACGAAGGGCACGCGAAAAACGAGCCCAGTCAAAGGAGTTTAAATTCTTAAGTCATTTGATAAAGGCAAGAAGCAAGCGACAAAGCTTGGGAGGTGGTTTTTTTAAGGAAAGGGAAAATGTCATTCGGAGTGAAAGATAAATTAGAGAGGAGCGGTTATTACAGAAAGTAATTAGGTGATTAGCTTTGGAAGAAGTAATGGAACAGTAAAAAATGATATGATTAATATCCTGGTTAGGGCAAGCTTTAGAGGCCACGATACTTTTCCTGTGCGAACTAAAATTAAGATTAAAAACATGTTTAAAAAAAACCTAATGTTTTATTCTTTAAAAAAAAAACTTTAGTCTTTGTCAATCCTGAAAAGGATAGATGTATATCCTTCTCTCTCGTAGGATGGACTCTGTTAGAGGGTCTTTAAAATCCTGTAGTCATTAATTTTATAAAAAGCGGTATTCGTAGTCCGTGTTCTTATTTTAAGTCTGTCATCTTAAGTATGCTTAAGAATCTCAAAACTGAACTGAAGACGGTCTTGAATATATAAGAATTAACTGACTATGAATACCGGCCAAAGAACCACAAACTCGCATCCAGTTTGACGCACAACGCGATCATTTCATGCATTTGTATATATACGTACTTTATTTGTAAAAATCACGGAGTATATAATGGCCGCAGCATACACTTTTGCATGAATGTGCCTTTTCATGCTGACGCTCATTCTTAGCGTCAAAATAGATCACGTGATAAAAATTGACGAATATCAAGCGTGGCCGCACTTTTTTCCTGTGTGCATTAACAAAACAAATGCATGATCGAAGAGAAATTAATACATTAAATACAAATTACAATATTTGAAAAATTAAAGCTATAGAGATACAGCCGCATTTAATTAATGCCAACAACAAATGATGTATTTTTTTGTTTTATGTTTTATTCAAATATCATGAAGTAATCATATTTTATTTGATTGAGAGAAAAATATAGGAAAAGAACCAGTACTACAATTGACTGAAATCAATTCGACAGTAGTTAAATTATTTTCTTCTTTTATTTAGAACATTTAAATATATGTCAGAGAAATTGATTATAATCGTAAAATATGTATATCTTTAATTATTATATGTATAACATATTGAAGAAAGGAACAATTAATTAGTTTGTTTCAAGATCTCTTAGGAATATAATAATATATGTAAATATATTTCACAGCAAAGCTTCAATAATTACTTAAAGCCTGAGATTCTCCCCAAAGCACTCTGTAGTTTATATAATTTTTCTGAGAAACATCCATATTTTTAGTATAATATATAGATATAAAACTTTAAAGATATATGTATAGATACAAATATAATTTTATAGTAAAATCTTCGGCGACATAATTCAATTGCTATCCATTATACACAAAACATTTTCTATATAGTGCCTAATGATTTATTTCGGCATGTAACAAGAAATAATTGATGTATTTAATTTTTCTATATTCATAAACTGTTGGTCAATATAATTTCTGCGCGTAAAATTTGTAGGAATCATATTTAGTGTATTTTGGCAAGCATTTATGCATTAATTATGGCATTTGCACATACATACATAATGTTATGCCCGCTCTGTGCCGACACTCGTTGGTATCGTTTTCGAAGAGATCGTACGAAGAACGCCGAGACAATAACGAGTCGTCATCTATCTAATAAACAAGTCTGGAACTAACCGTCGCTTTATTTGGATATTGTCTTGTCAGCTCTTACTTCTCCGTTCCTTGACTGCTCTGTACCGTTATTAATAAAGAAAGTGTTGTGTTCCTGACTAATTCTGTGTCTTGATTTTTGTGTTGCGGAGGCGCGCGCTTGTTCGGGCTTGCGAATCAGTCGCGCGGGCATAACAATACATATAACAATGTTTACTGTATTATTCATATGAATACAAAATGTCTTTAATTCTCACCGGAATTAAATCATTAGATATACATATGTAACAGAGATTCTTATATATCGCATATTTCATTACTTTACATAACGTTATAAAAATAATAGACTCATAATAGAAAAGTCTAATTCAGAAACGTTGCTAACAACAATAAAATCATTTGTGATAAAGTTAATATGTTCCTAGCAAAATAACAATTATATATATGTATATATACACACATATACATAATATACACATATATCAATAATATCGTTGTAATATTATTTAGAAAATTCACTGTAATGATCGCAATATATATAAATGAATACTTTATATAATATCAAATTTCAATTTTTTTAACACGTCATTTGCCCAGTGAGTCGTTTTTTTCATAAACGTCACAGTAGAAATTATATCATCGTGAATACATAATGAAATATTATCATTAATATTATAAAAAGACTATTTTCTAATGGGTAGTTGAGAGAATTTCGTATTGTTTACACTGTTGTCTAGCTATTTGTATCATTTAATTTATATTATTAGACATCATTTATTTTTATAAATATTAAAAAAAATTTTGATAGTGCAATCACATAGCATTATTTTAAGTTGGACGCCGGTCATGACTGATCAACATGGCAGTTAACGTGTCAATATGGTTTATAAAATGTAGAGATTCTTATTCGCTATGAAAAATAGAGCGTATTTTTTTTTTATATGGCATCTGTTACATTAGACAAATTAAAGATAATTAAAATGATGACCTTTGTATTAAAAATATACTTTCAATATATATATATATATATAACCCTATCTTTAATTAATTCTTTTTAATATCCCAGCAACGTTAATGTTAAAGTAGTCTTGCTTACATTTTTTAAATTATACAATCTTAGTAATATATAATAAGGTTCTGATTTGACTTTTTATGGCATCCCTATATTATTCTTATCGAAAGTGATGCAACAAGTTTGCTATCTCTCATTAAGTTACAGTTTTTTAAAACTATTGATGAGCCTTCTAAAAATAACCTATTTAAAAATTCTCTTCCTTTTTGTAGATAAAAAAATATATTGAAGTCACAACAGTGAGTATTATAATAATTAAGAAAATTATGAAAATAGTATAAAAATAGTTATTTTACAAATTTGTTAATTCTATTTTTCGGCACAAACGACAAACTTTTTGCATCACTTCAATGACTTAGTTTTCAAAAATCTATGCTACTCGCGAATTTCACAGATTTGACGAATCCTTGGTATTTATCCGATTAATATGCAGAGTTCTATTGACGGGCGAAACCGGGCTCCCGTGGACCTCCAGATCAAATTCTGAAGTAGTCAGGCAATTTTCCATAACTCGGTTCCATCTATCAGCACTCTCGTTGGCAACTATGTATGTTTTTGTAATTCTTGGTTCTATACCATCAGTATCGCACCTTTCGCAAGCTCGTAGTGCTTCTTGATGTATAATAATTTCATTAGTAATGTATGCTTCGCGTCGTATCTTGTTGTGTAACTTAGAGCTCATATCAGGAATGCACCACCGTATGAGAATCATCACTAGTGCTACAACATTCTGCAAAAAATACGCAAAGATATTCCAATATAATTATTTTTTTAATTTGTTAAGGTAAAATAGATAAATCTACATAAAATGTAGAGATATTTTAAAAATAATATTTATTTGAAAAAAAAAACAACATACCTCAAAAACGACGATGAAAGCTAATCTAGCCGCTAATACATGCCAGAACATGATGTTGTACTGGTACTTGTTTGGCGAGTTTGGTGGTTCTCTATAATCTGGATAGCGGCAGATATCGATTGGGACTTTATTCAATGTCATATTTGGCTGAATTTCACTCAGATCGTTAGTATTAAATTTTGATAGAGAATGATCCAGAAAACCTTCCAATGAATAATTATTCGAAACTGTTATACGATAAACTAGTCTCGGTATAAAGTTTGAAGTAAAAGCTATGATGAATGCCTAAAAACGAAAATGATGGTGCTTAAAATATTTAATTATAGCTTGTAAAATAACTATTTTTAATTACAAAATCATTGATAAATTTCAAATCACATTTTTGAAAGTTTATGTTTGCTACATTCAGCAAAAAAGAAAACAGCTTTACACCTGTAGTAAGAGTCTTTAATATGACTGGTTTATATACATATTTAGATTGAATAAGGAACTAAGGACAAAATAAACAATCTAATTAAAACATTTTACAACAGTTGTGTGTAAAACTGCTTTTTCTACCGAGCGCCATCAATAGCTGTTAAATTACAAAACTTACATTTGTGATAACAGATATTTTGGAAATAGAATCGAGAATGCGATACCATATGCCTATATCTCTGACACGCTGCCCAACTGGCCTTCTATACATGGTCAATAACTTTTTCGCGTCTAATCTCATCTCGAAGACATTATTTAGTAATGCAAAAAATGGTGCTAACGGAAATGCAGCAACAAAAATCGTAACAAATCCGTATTGTAACACTACAAAAAGAAAAATCATAATTTTGTTCGAAAAATGTTTTGAATCGCATTCCATCGTGTATTTCTAGCATACATTATTTTAAACAATTATTTATTATTCTTTGATAGAATAAACGTGTTTCTTTGTATTTACCCATTTCTAAATATTCAGGAAAAAGACTTCTAGGTCCCCATTGGACTAACTTATAATCTCTGACCCATTGCAAATATTTTCTAGATGAATATCTTTTATTTGGGTCGTCCAACTTTTTCGAGCCAACGTGAACTTTCAAGGTGTTCAACCATTTGTAAAATAGAGGAAAAAGCATTTCCAAGATGGTGTTCATGGCTTGTTTGCCAATCATAATAATGCTCAATTGGATGCATAATTCCAAGAGACAACCACCCGGTCCACATTCTTCTTGTCGAGAACCCAAAAAACGATTATAATTTCCTGGATAACCAGTGAATTTCCCTTTGAAAAATGCTATGTAAAATATAGAGGCATAATAATTTACAAACTCCAGTAAATAAATCTTTAGAGTCAAGCTATCGTCAAATTCAGTCTGAGTACGAAGTAATTCAATCTGAAAAATAAGAAACAAGAACTTTCATATTTATTAATCAAATATTTTTAAAGTGTTTATTCTGATAATTTACTTTTTAAAATTATTGACTAATATACATGATAAAAAAATAATTTAATTTAAATTATTTTAAATTTTTTGGTAAAATTAACGTGTTAATATGTAGATAAATTATTATGAAATTACCTCAGTCAAATATTCTGCCAGCCATACATAAAGCCAATTGAACAAAATGATACAACAAAGATTAATGCACGCGGCAGTTGCAGTAGTGAACAATATAGCATAACTGGTTACCATTGGGTGTCCAGAAACACTTAACGCAGTTAAAACAGACATTCTGTATATTACTACTCCAAGAACAGCAGCCATAGCTACAACTATCTGTGTGTAATATTATTATATAAAGTTCCATAACAATTTTTTTATAAAACAATATATAAATATTATTAACGACATAATATCAAATTGTCTCCCTATAAATATTATTCAAATAATAATTTTTTTATATTGTGGAAATTAGACGTACCAAAAGTAAAACAACTGAAAAACTGAGAATCATAGCGGGAAACCTCATCTTCCAATATGGCACTTGCGGTTCCTCCACACTTGTGACAATATTGACAGATTTCTTCTTAATATGAGCAAGCCTTGCTAAGTACTGTGGCCTAGGATATTCTTCTTGAGCATCTAAACCAGTTAAATCCCACCTGTGGGTTATTTCAGCAGAATATTTCTTCCATAATTCCAGGAACAGTGTGGCTAAAAATGATTATACTGTTATATAGTTATGTAATAACGTTATTCAAATAATTTTATTTTTAATTTAATAAATTTTTTTATTAAATTTTATAAATAACTCATTAATAAATTATTATTAATAATTTTAACATACCCCATAACGACATAAATATAGAGAAAAATACAGTCGACGGATTGTCGAACAGATATGTAATTCTCGAGTGTAAACACGTTTGCTTTAAATTCCAATATCCACAAAAATGATCACATAATGGACACATTGCGATTGTATTGTTACTGTTACAAACATCTTCGCTCGGTTCATTGTAATACAAAGTAGCGCAACTGTATATGAAGCACAAAAGACCGACGATACTGGCAGGAATTAACATGTGAGTATAAAATCCTAGCCAGGCGAAATAAAGCCCGATCTTCACCCCAAAGTACTCTTTGATATAATCCAAAGGCTGATAATGAAGACATTTTCTCAAACTAGCCCATTCGGTATACAAAAGATATCGCATTGAGTCTGGAGTGTGTAGATTTCCCTGAAACATAAATAACATATTTATATACATCGAGTGAGTCAGTTTGTGCTCCACAAAATAATTTTTATAATTTAATTTCCTCTGCGCTCACACAGAAAAAGTAACTTACATCATGAAGCGAATACGCTGCAACGTATGCATGTTCGGATATTAATCGTTCGATACCAAATGCGAAATCGTCCTCTTTAGTTTCTGTGAATCTAGTTCTGTCCAATATAAATTGCACAATGCGTGATCGAGTTGCCGATGTGAAAAAATTAGGCGAATCCAAATCGAATAAATAATCTTTGTCCCTACTATACACCGCCGTAAAGTTCTGTCTCATCGTCGGGAAGATAGTTGTGTCGACATAATATCTGTTCATGATGCGGCGAAAAAACGAATTGACTTCCTTGATAATAATGTTGCTGCTTGTCTGAGGCATGCTACAACCAGGCAATTCTCTCATTGGCAGTCTGAGTTTCAATATTTCAGCATATCGTCGCAAAACTTCCTTGGGCGCGTGAATCTTTATGAAATGCAAGCCATTTGGTTCCGCTTGTTCGTACTCCAACTGTAGACCTTCTTTTTCTAGATTCTTCTCAAATATCTGAAAATATAGTACGAATTTCGCAAGAACCGATACTTTAAGTTATACTATTTAAATAGCAATTTGTACTTACCCTTCTACGTTCGACACTGCGATAGGTCTGTGCTTCTCCACTATACTCATCCCACACAAGTACAAAATCGACTGAGCGTATCTCATCACGAAAATATAAACTATACCTTGTACCAGAAAGAGAAAGCTGGAATATGAAAATATACTCATATTTTTTTAAATTCCTCTGCCAGCACACAAATTTTAACTCTTCTGTCAATAATAAAAGTCTTCAAAAAATAAAGCGAATTTTTTATTTCAGATTAAAAATTTGAAAAAATTCTCATGTACTTGTTAACGTTTTAACAAGTTTTTATCATCATAGAACACGAATTGTATTTTACTTCTTTTTTGTAGTTTAAATTTACCTACCAAAATTCATAATCAAAATATCAGTAATGACTTTAAAATTCCAATTGCCAGTAGAGTTAAAAAGATAATTTAATAACTCGATCTATTACTCATCACTCTTTAGTTATACAAAACTAAGAATTCATTAGTATTTCTTTAAGAAGTAACCATGAAAATTAGTTTTTTAAAGGCACTGTTATTATCAACTATAATATCAATTCATCTTATTAATTATTGAATACAATTATCATTTGAAATATTTGGTATAATAATTTGTTATATAATAATCAGATATAAATGATAAAAGAACTAGTGCCACATTTATCATCTTACACCTAAATTATAGAATCATGAAGAGATTGATTTTTACCAATCTTGTGTCATGTACATTATTCTTCTTGTTTGTGTAACTTTCATCTACAATTGTTTCGTTTGTGTCATTATTCACAGTGGATGGATCATCCGTATACGTAGGGCAGAGATTATCCAAGGAGACGGCGCTGCGCATGCTGTTCACACTCATATCGTCCTCGTACAAGGTGTTGCGAACGCTTTGATACAATGTCTGTTGCGAGCCTTGATTCAAACTGTTCTGCACCGACTGATACAAGCTCGATTCAGGAATACTGCTTTCACGTCGTTGCGCGCATGTAAGAGAAACCTCTTCGTCATCTTCTTCCATTGCTCAATAAATTAGTGGATTGTCAAATCCTACTTTATGCAAACCAAAAAAATGTATGCATCGTGCAAATCCAAATAAGAGAAATCAAGAAGCATAACAATGATATTATCTTCTTGTACATAATAAGAATAATATCCAGCAATGATTCAAATAGCAATTGAAAATTTGTTATTGAGAGGCTTCTCATATTCCTTCAACTTTACAACGCATGATTTCTATTCTCTAAATAGACATGTTTTTAATATTGCATATGTGTATGTGTATATGATAATAAAATTATAATTGGAACGATCTTATTGAAAACTTTGTATTGTTTATAATTACAAATAAATTATAGTCTGCTGTCTTCACAACAAGTGAAAATCTATAATTGTGAGGCTTTTCATATTTTTGTAACTGCAAAGCATGATCTTCATTCTCCAACATACATATTTTTTAATATCGTGCATATATGCGTATGTGTATGCATGTAGCAGTAAAATCAATTATAAATAAATTAGTCTGCTGTGTTTTTACTTGCTAAAGCTAACCAAAACGTAACGTGCTCCTGAAAGTTCTGAGATTCAGCTTGCATCCCGAAAATAATATAATCGCAAGATCCATTGTAAGCCTATTTTTTTAAATCGTGCTCTTTGTTTTATTTTTTCCAACAATATCATCGAAGAAAGAATTATATATTCTTACCTAATGCCGTCCTCGGGTCCATTTACCGAGCGATAGTGCCACGTTTATCTTTGGAAGACTGCGTTTTAATCGAACTGCTCTTGCAAAGCACGGCTATATCGTCGTAAAAAGAATAGAGTGAAAAATTTACAATTATCATTGTTTTTGCTGCATGATACAAACTTCGAAATGATTACAGTTACATGCTGTGTCACATACCGAATATAATAGACGTACGTCACGCGTGGTCGTCTCCTTTTAGAGATCCCATCAGGACGCAATGCAGGTACAGGAGCGTACATACATACGTGATGTTCACGTGGTTATCAATGACTATCGCGAAGTCGTGACTAATAAGTTAAACTTTTGAGCTTACTTGTCTTTCAGATGCATTATGTTTACTGCTGCAAAACGCGAAAATGATACGTGTTTCACTTTTACCATGTAAAATAATAATTTGAAACATAAACTTCATTTATTACAATCGTAATTATTACGAGTGGATCCAGCAGAGATCCTTCTTATTATTATTATGCATAATAAACAGAATGTACCGCGAGACTTCCTACCACTTACTGCAAGAAAATGGATGGAATCAAGATGAACACAAAAGTCTCATACCGTTTAGCGATATTCGCAATAATAGAGATATTAATTTTTGTAATTATACTAATTGTACGTTTTAGCCGCTCGAGATATAGCTCGACCCAGTTTATCAAGCATTGGCTGTCGGCATCGCTTCTCTCGTATGTTCTCATTAGTACGATTACAAAAATTAATATCTCCATTATTATTGCGAATATCGCTAAATATTATGAGACTTTTGCGTTCATCTCGATTCTATCTTCCTGTGAGCAACGAAAGAATGCACCCTATATACACAAGTATTCAAAATTATTAAACTTTCTTTTTATAAATTTTTGTTTGTTTACAATATATTTTGATTTATCATTTTCTGGAAATGAGACAGAAATCATCCTATACTAAAATGTACAAAATGAATTATTTAATATTAAAATATAAAAAAGAAGCGACTATCTCCACGATTAATTATTATACATCTAGAAAAGATATACATATGTATATATAACATTGCGGAAGTGAATTTCCGCAGAGATACACACTATCGTAGGAAATATTCCATTTCACAATTTGCTCTCTAGTCTATTTTATTGCAGTGTCATTTTGTAAATTGGAAGTTTATTTAATATCTATATAATGTATACAAAACGTCTACTTTTTACTAACAAAATTTATTAGTTGTTAATTTGAATGAACAATAAAAATGTTTTATATAAACACTATATATACATTATGGTTTTGTGCAAGAAACATGTGCCCTATTTGTCAGTGTACTTAATATTCTATATAATAATAAAATACTTATTATTGAGATGTGGATTACATAAACAGATCTTAATACAACTTATATATACATATATATATAATGTATATATACATATTATGTACAGGAAGTCACATTTATCAAATTACTAAATAATATATGCAAGTATATTATACAGTTTCTATGTAAATCTTTCCATTTATAAATCTTTCCATTAAATGGAAAACAAATGTGTACAAAGTAAATACATACAAATTGTTATTCTGAATATTTTAATGGGTTAAAAGTTCAATTTTTTAAGCAAAAATGAGTCTATTGTAATCATACTTCCTGCATAACTAATGCATTGAGTTCCTCTTCTCCTGGACACAACACTGCATCGATGTTATAAAAAGCAGCGTGAAGCGTAATCATAAACCAAGAAACTCCTAAAACAGAAGAATATAAACATAATTATTACCTATTTTATATAATTATATATCAAAGATACTCTTTTACTTACCAAGTACCCAAAAGACAGCTGCATGTGCACCTACTAGATAAAATACAGGCAGCGAAAAAATTCCAACCAAAGAATATACTTGTGCCAAAGTTAATCTATGATTCAGTATCATCAATTCTTGCTTCGAATGTCGCTGAGATAACTTGTAACATATTCCAAGGGAAGCAGCGACTGCCAGCAACAGCAAAGGTGAGGTGAGTCTAAAACAAGAAAATTATAAATTTTGTTACAGTCATAAAATCATAAAAATAATTTTGTTTAGATCTATTTGACTCAAAATGTAATTTATTTTTTTCTGTAAAAATATATTTTTTATCTTTTAGAATTTTTTTATTATATTAACCTAGATAATATATATATATATATGATAGTATATTAAATTTCAATAAACCAATAAAATTAATAGAATTATTTTTATAGATATTAAACCAACAAATTAGTGGAACATTAAGTAATTCTTACAAGCAGTATATCACTAGTCCAATAAACACAAATAGGTAATTGCTCTGGAAGTATTCAATATTCTTCACAATCCGCTTGCTCAGTCTGCTTATATTGGGCGGTGGTCTGATGTTGTTTGTATTAAGGAACAAGGACCATGGTCGAATATTCGCTTTTCTATGTTCGATCCAGTTTTGGGCTTGAGGATAGCCTACAGCTATCTGTCCAAGTGGTAGCTGAGGTAGTTGCAGAAATTCAAATCTACGATTATAACATAAGCAGAAAAATCAATATGACAAATAAATCAGACAATGCAGGACTCCTCTCATCCTGATTTTCTACTCTGCATTTACGATTGCTTCATCAAAACTGCTTTTGTGAAATATGCTTGAATTATTCATGTTGATAAATTATCATAATAAGCTAATAATTAAATTTTTCTGGGTTCTTGCTAGGTTGCTACGTCAATACACAGTATGGCAGTTGCTTGTAGGTTAAGTTAGGTAAATCATAGGTAAATCAAAAAAGAAATTATACATTCATTACCCATTCGTAGCTTTATGATTTTCTGGCGAAGCCTCCATGTCTCCCATCGGAACTTCCACGTGTGCCATGACTTTCTAAAGCAAAAAACGATACTTTTAAAACTATTTTTTGCTCTCAAAGACTCGCCTTTTGTTGTCCGTATTCTGCTCTTTTGTCTTAGTTCACAGCTTTCTCCTTTATTTGTGTTTTGTTTTGTACTTCTTAGCTTTCTTTTTTCCTAAAAGTTTGCACACGCACACATAGTTTCTCCTTAAAAGTACTAGAAAATATAAAGAGACACTGCAGCACGAATAAATATGATGTAGTCAACGTTTATACTGGGTGATCATAATTATCCATGTAAAGAACAATGCAAGTGAGTGGCATACGATATTTTAAGCCTATTACGATCTTCATGTCAGAATTTATATAATAGAAATAGAACTCTGCTTATAATTTTACATTGCAATAGATAATAAATATACGAATATGCTTTAGAAAATAATTTTTAAAAAATGTATTTGGTTCTAATAAAAAACGAAATTACACGTTTTTACACTTACATTATAAATATAACTTTATCGCGTATATTTCAAATTTAATTTTTTTAATATATGTACTAGAACATAATAATATACTTTCGTTAAAAAATATTTTACCTGTTTTGAAATGAAAGTCGAAAGTCCTTATATTTTACAATTTTCGTAATAATGATAACAAAATATTATTTACTAAAAATCGGCAAATATTTTGGCTTTTTCAATCATTTTTTACTCAAATGTTTATATCAACTTTATAGAAAAACAGCAAGTGATAAAAATTGTTTGTTCTTTTCTCATAGAATTCTAAACATTTTTTTATAATTTTTTAGTACCGCATTTTTTCGTGTTCATAAAAATAGTTGGCAATAAGAAAATGCAGTACTAAAAAGTAGTTGATAAAAATTCTGAAAAAATTCTTGAGCTCTATGAGAAGAAAATAAACAATTTTTGTTTCTTGCTGTAAAGTTTTTTGTAAAGTGCTTCTGTAAATATTTTACGATAGTATTTTATTTAAAAAATAAATTGAAAATCAATATTCGACGAGTTTTAGTAGGCAATTAATAGCTTTTGTTAACTATTGCAAAAATTATAAATGGTAGAGTACTCTTATAATTTCGTCTCATTGTCTGCAGTTTTTGCTCGATCTGCCCACGTACGTTGTTGGCAAAATTATCAAACACCCTGTATATAAGTTCGTAAAAAATAAATAGTCGACACTAAATTATATTTTCAATCTTTTCAGTAGTGTAGTAAAAATTCTTTCTTTTAAATTTTTCGTCATGGTATTGTTTGATCTCATTGTCAGTAAGTTTCAATATTCGTAGAATATTGAATTGTATTAATATGAAATATGTATATTAGAGAAAGCCGAAAGATTTTAAATGAATAGGTATTGAAGACCGACTTGGCATTAAAGTATAAATCTCCGACTTAAGATCAAAGTGAATGTCCGACGGAACTTCCTGTTTTCTAACTTAAATTTTAAAATATTATAGCTAGTTGTTCTTTCACTAGATTTTAGAAATGATATCCTGCAGCGTCATTGAGAAAATAATAATAATACACGGAATATAAAAATGCTAAATTAATGACCGAGAATAAAACAATATTATAAATTATTAAATTTTTGTATCGCGTTAAAAAATAATTCTAAATAATCGAGGATAAAGAAAACATTACTAAAATTTAAATATTCACTTATTATATTACAAGAAATTGTAAGTAATGGAAAGGATATGTAAAAATGATTTGAAGCAATGGAATAATTTTCTACGATGATACTCAAACATTTATCTTTTTTCTGATAACGGAGAACAACCGTCGTTTAAGATTTCTCGTACGACTTCTCTGACCAGATTATATATCCTTTATTCAGTTAAGATAGTGAGATACCCGTGTGTACACATCGCGGGGGAAATTCGTTCTTGGTTTCCTTCAAACGCCTTCCTGGTGATGCTCGCTATCTTGATCATTCCAGACTTCCTTCGAATTCACCTGCAGACGATGTATCTTTTTTGTTATCAGAATTCCCGGCGCAAATCGTGCTTGCTGAAACTTATGCATCGCGCAGGAAAGGTTGTTGATGATGCTTGTTGCAGCACATACATTATTCAGTTAGCTTCCCATCATCAATTGATGATCCGTACCTGCTCGGTGCGTCCTTGATGTATATAATTTAATATATATAATATATATATATATATATAGACTCTATATATATTAAATACAAAAAGATCGCTTAATTTAATTGATTCAATTAATACCACATACATAAATGGTATTATTCTTGGTATTACTCTAATGGTATTTTTCTTGAGTTAAAAATTCTTTTAAATAATTATAAATTCTATAAATTACTATTTTTTTTTTTATTCAGAATGAAATAAAGACAGAGAGATATAAACATACATTTTCAAGTTAAATTATAAAAATGTAAGAAAAGGAACTATAAAAATCTTTAAAAATGTGTATTAAAATTAATGAAAATAATTATATGCGAGTATATAATATATAAAAAATGAATTTGTGAGGGGGTGGAGAAAGGGATGACGAAGAATGGGGGAAAGTTTGAGCGTAAGGCACTGTTGCCGCACAAGCCGTTCCTGTTTCCGATGTTTCTTTCCACGTTGGCCATATAGCCACAGGTTGCAGCTGCTCGACGAAAATTTCTCTGCCGTGAAACTTTTGTCGTAAGAATACGTTTATTGTTCCGTAAAAGAAAATAAGAATGCCTGAAGAGTTATATAGACAGGCTCGTTGTAGTACCCTGTACTAGATACATGCACTACAGGAAATCGTGTCCTTCTACGTTAATTTGAGAGCTAAATAGATTGGATTCCATGACAAGAAATTGTCGACGTGGTCTGTTGTTAAAACTTTCGGCCTTCGGTCCCGAGACGAGGCGGTCCCAAAGAGATGAAATAGTCGGCGGCAGATGTCCAGCTGGGCCGAACAGCTGCTGTAGTATATCACACAGTGTAGATATATCGTTCGCGATACTCGGGCCAATAATTGCTACCTCGCGATTCTATCACTTTTATATCGTTTTATACCGTTGATGATCGTTTAAAGAATTAAAAATCGATGGAACGTGCTCTAACAATGATCGAACCGACGAGCGTCGGGCTTGTCAACATTCAGATGGACAAAATTCAGATTCAGAGTCTCTCAAGTCCGTTTACTATATCAGCGTAGTTTAATTTTAATATTGATTGAGAACTTTGAATTCTTTATATTTTCCTATATAGTTTTAATTGTAAGAAATAAAAAAAGATAAAGAGTAAATTGAACCAATATTAAAGTTAATCTACAATAATAAAAACGAACATTAATCTTCTGGGATTTAGTTCTAGCATACATCCGAAATAGAAAGTTCCGACGTCCTTTTATCTTGTATATTTAATCTTTGTTCTATTGTCGGGCGAATTAGATTCGGCATATCATAGCGTGTAGCAATAACTTATCCCATAATTCTCAAGCATTTGAATCTGTAAACAATTGTAACTGACAGGCTATATATTGTTGGGATGTTTATATAAGCCTCTAACAATAAGTAGTAAAAATTCTTTGAGCCACGTTAAATCATCTAAACTGACAATCGTAAGTAAATGAAATCAAGGACGAATCACTTGATTTTCGTTCATTTGCGAAAAAAGTTCAAAATACAATGGATTGATAAATAAATATAGCGATCAATATACACACACAAATCATATAAGATAATATAATATTTTTATAAGAAAATTATTATGTTATACAGGGTGTCCAGAAATTCGAGAGTAATCTTACTGCAGCACGAAATTTCGTGAAAAATTAAGTAATAAAGGTGCAAGTCATTTCTCTCCGTAGGTTTTTTTAAATATAATAACGTTTAAAATTTGACTAATAATAAGCGTTGGTTGAAAAGCTATTTGTTTATGTAATAGTGTGTATGCAGCAGCAATGTTTTTTGTTTAGCATCTAATACAATAACTTTTAAACCAACGCTTATGATTAGTCAAACTTTAAACGTTTATCTTAAAAAAACCACTTTACGGAAAAAACAAAGTTTCACGTAGATTACCCTTGAATTTCTGGACTCTCTGTATTTTATATAATATAATATTATATGTATATAAAAAAATTGTATCGTATATTATTACAAGAATACAATCATATTATTATTTTTTTAGAATGTTAATTTTTTTTAAAAAAGAAATATGTAAATTTTATACATATATATTCATACTTTCATATTTTATTGCATATAAAGGAAATTTCCAGAGGAAATGTCTACGTATGAAAAACTATTATAATAGCATCCACCAAAACATTCACCGATGCCGAGAGTCGCCTCGCGAATAAACAGGGAGTTTGAATTTTAAAAAGCATCTTGAACTTGAACGCTGTTCCTCCTATTGTTGCGCATGTCAAAAGCGAGTTAATCGGCGATTCAAAAGATCATCCATACCTACCACTTACGTTTCGATTTCACACGAAAACAAAACGGCGCCAACAAGAAAGCGACTTTCATTTTGCTGTCTTTCGTTTGCCGACCAAAATGCCTAAGGGAAAAAATTGCGTGGAATGGTGAAAAATTTCACCAAGAACCTACCCCTCGGTCCCAAGCTGTCCGGTAGGTGCCGTGGTGGTGGAAGAGCGGTGGTGCCCCGCACGAACCAATCAGTGGCCACGTTACATCCACCCGTGGCCTTGCCTGCGTGCTGCGGCAATGCCGCGCGCTCTAATTGGCCGGTTGCCGGCCGTACCTTCGATTGCTCCGCTTGGTGCTCCCGTCTGTCCGTCGGCCATCATAAAGTGCCATAACGAACGCGAACGTCGGAATGAGCGGTACTTTCGTCAGTTTGAATGAACGCGGTCGCGAGTGCGGTAACATCGACGTTGTTAGTGAATTCCCCGATTTCGTCTGAGCTGCAACCGGCAGCATTTCTCACAGTTCGCTTTTCCTCTCTTTCTCTCTCTCGGCTCTCTCCTGTGAATCGTGAGGAAGCGTCGTGGCACGCACGCCGCACGTGCGTGACGTGATCCTACGGCTTGCAAACATGGAGATCGTACGGAAGGTACATTACGACGCGTGCGACATGCAGAACGGTGAGCTCACCTGGAGTTGCGGCGGCACCGGTAACGCCGGCGAGTGCGACGTCCTCGACTCCTCGATGGACGACTTCGACTCGCCGCCGCCACTGCAGCCGCGTAAGTTGTTCGACGCGACGGACTGCAACAGCGATGAGAGCCAGCCGGTGAATAACAACAAGATTTCGATCTTCGTGACAGGTTAGAGAGTCTTGCTTCTCATTGAGTTTACTCCGCTGGATTTCTTTTAAGTTTCGTCTCTTTTCACCGAATACATTCGCGTGTATTATCCATAGGTCTCGTGTTTCATTGTGTATACTTAATCGTTTTCAATGTAGAAAGTATAATAGGGTGCAACTACGAAGAGTCCAATTTTACGTCTATTCGCGAAATTCGTCGAATATCTTGGCTTGGACTCGGATATCTCATTGTGTCCGAATTCTTTGTACTTTTCTCTTTCTCTCCACGATGTTTATTTTAACACCTTTTTTTTATCGTATATCGTTTCGGGTGCAGAGAGTGTAGTGCGGTGCAGAATGGTATTTTACGTTTTCTCGTTGTATTTAAATTCTTTTTACTTTACATCTTTCTCTGTCTAATGGCTATTTAACACCTGTTTTAGTATATGTTTTATTGCATGCCGTTTTGTGTGTAGAGAGTGCAACAACACGGTGGAGTTACACGAAGAGGAATCTCGTGTTTGTTCGTTTCATTATTTGAATTCTCGTCGACTTTCTGCCAAGCATACGTTTAATTATGTATATTTTTTTAATTTAAAATGCAAAAAGTACAACGTAGTGTAGCTCATGCCGCTACATATATCCTTTCTCTTTACACTACGCTACGGCGTCCCTGCCCCCCGGAGTGAGTGGTCGGAAGTGACCTCGTGTTTTCGTTTACAAATCGAGTTAATCCGGAAACGATCCCATTTGTGGAAAACGGTTTATGGAAACAGATCATTTCAAAACGAAGGATTGCGAATTTTGATTCATCGTTCTAATTTATGAAATAATAATAATCAGGCAGTTGAGTTCCAAACACAATGGATTTTAAACTCTTCGCGTCGATCGATTACTAGTAAATATAAATGTAAGAAGTAGATTATCACGCTAGTTTTATCACAAGAAAACTTCTGTTTTCACCTGACTCCAAATGACTCTGTATTTCTTTGTGTTGTGTTCTTTACATTTCTGTATAGCTCTTGTCTTGTAAATTTCTTTCGCTTTTTGTTAAGATTAAATACTCATATTGATTCAAAATTGCATTGGCACGTGGTGCGAAATTATTGATATTGATACATTTGACAATTCTTTTGCATCGTGCATACTTCTGTAAAATCTTCAATTTTTAAAATTATGATCGTAATTAGTTAATATTCTGACTACTATCAGTTTTTGAGTTGAAATTATGATATCATCAGTGATTCTAAATTCTCCATGTACTGATGATATCATCATGAGTGTATGTAATATCTAATTATTGTATGCAGTATTGTACATATAAGATACTTTGACTTATTGACAACATATAAATATATTGAAGTAAAATTAACTCCACTTGTTAAAGTGTCATTATTCTCACAAATAAAATTTTCAATTCGATTTTTTTATTGACTTATCATTTTGTCTAGATAAAATTTTATAATCAATTTTATTAATTATATTTAAGTGCATATATTATATTTTCTTTGTATTTTATGTATTAGAATTTTTTAATGGTTTTTATTATATATGTACAATAAATATATATCTATTATTAATATTATAAAGCTATTATTATCTTTACATTCTAATCTAATCTATTTCATTTTAATATCAAACAATATTTTTGAAGTTGTATTAAGAGAAAAAAATATAATTAAAAAATGTAAAAAGCTTATTAATTTAGATCGATATTTTTTCAATCATTATCCATGAAAAATTTAATGGAGAAAATTCTTGTAATTTACAATTTTTTATGATGATTACAAGTTTTTTTTATACCGAATAAACGTTTATTTACAGGTACTCCAGCCATCAAGACTCCCATCAGTCGTGAAAACGTTTTTCACAAAAGTTCAATGGGGTGTAGTCCACCCTACAAGCGTGTTAGGCAATTACGTCTATTTGATTCGCCTACTACCCCTAAAACCTTGATAGAGAAGAGCGTGTTACAAACTCCAATATCTCCAAGGTGTTCTAGACTTTTTAATCTAGAGAAACCTAAACCTTCTAAGATAAGCCCGAGTTACCAGAATAAGATAGAAAAACCCGCCGCGAATGTAAATCCATTCACACCTAATGGCATGTTAATAACAGCAAGGAAAAGAAGCAGATCTAAACGTAGTCTCAATGGGTATGTATTGGAACTGTATATCTTATAATTATTATTTATTTTCTGTAAAATCTGCATCTGTAACTAATCACAATAATAAAGTACAATTTAAATGTTTATACTATTCACAAACTAAAAAAAAAAAAAAACTTTTTCATGCTTCTGTGTTTGCGAAGATTAAATTTGAGATTTTATTTAATAAATATTAGGTGTACAAATTAGTTCAGTTTGTTTTTTGTGTTCAAAAATGCATTTATTTCAAAACAAAATGAACAGATTAATTAAAGTATTGTCTATCGCTGGCTACTACTTTTTCCCATCTCTCAGGCAATTTTCGAATTCCGTCTCGAAAAAATGACTCATCTTTGGAGACGATCATCTTTTGGAAAACGGACCGAACTAATTTGTGCTCCCAATATGTTATAAAATATTTATTTTTAATATTAAAAATGTTAAAATATATTGATACTAAAAAATATATCAAGGTTTTATTCGAGAGAGATCTGCTTTAGATTCATGTAATTACATTACTTTCTTTCTTTTATAGCAGTAGTAATAGTAGTTCACCGGACATGCAAGTACCAAAGTTTGATCTTGCTGACTCCGAAGATTCCGACAACGAGTATGAACACGCGACGAAACGCGTAGCACTGCAGGATTCGAATATATCGCGTTATCATAAGGAGTTCCACGAGCTGAGTTTGATCGGGGTTGGTGAATTCGGCTCCGTGTACAAGTGCATCAATCGGTTGGACGGATGTACGTATGCCGTTAAAAAGAGCATCAAACCTGTAGCGGGCAGCACTAATGAGAAGAATGCACTGAATGAGGTGTACGCGCACGCTGTGCTTGGCAAACATCAGCATGTGGTCCGTTATTACTCCGCTTGGGCGGAAGACAATCACATGGTCATCCAAAATGAATACTGCAACGGTGGCAGTCTTGCAGACACGATCCTCTCACTGAAACAACAGAATCAGCACTTCAGCCAGGCTGAGATGCGCCAACTACTATTGCATGTGGCTGAAGGACTGAGGTACATACACAGCATGCAGCTTGTGCATATGGACATCAAGCCTGGCAACATTTTCATCACCAAGGAAAAGAAATTACATGCCATCAACTATGACTCTGCGGATGACGGTTTTGACGAAGATGAAAACGTCGATGAAGAAATCACATACAAAATTGGTGATCTTGGCCATGTCACTTCTATCACGAATCCACAGGTGGAGGAAGGCGATTGCAGATACCTACCAACGGAAATCCTGCATGAAGATTTCAATCATTTACCGAAAGCCGATATTTTTGCCTTAGGATTGACTGTTTACGAGTCAGGTGGCGGCGGACTTCTTCCGAAAAACGGACCCATGTGGCATGACATTAGACAAGGAAAATTACCAGACTTGCCACACTGCAGTCGCGATTTGAACAACTTATTGAAGGTACGACTTTATTTCTGAAGTTTAATGACAATTTTTTTTTTTTTTCTATTGTTCTGTTGGAAATGCTTTGTATCATTTTCCCGACATAAGTTATTTTGATTTTTTTACATTGCTGTATTATATTATTCGCAGCTGATGATTCATCCTGATCCAGAAATGAGACCATCAGCAATATCTTTGCTGCAACACCGAGTCTTATGTCCGACGGGAAAGAAATCCAAAGCTCAATTGCGAAGAGAATTGAACGCTGAAAAACTCAAGAATGAAATCTTATCAAAACAACTCCATGACGCGGCGATATGTTTGAAGTTTGCATCCATTGCACCGAACGTTGTCGCCGAGAGTGGTAATAGCGACCGACAATTGCGACCGATAGCCAGTAGATTGTCGTCATCTCGTGTTATAGGCAAAAAAGTGAATCGTAGTAATAGCACTACGAATTTTTGAATATTTTCGTTAAAATTTTGACACCGGTAAAATTTTGAAAGGTGGAACTTAAGGGAGCGATCGGTTTCCTAGAGTCACCTTAACTTGTGTGATACCGTATCTAGTTTTTTTTTAAGTACTATTATCCAGTAAAATAAGACGCTACGTAACAGAATGCCGAATGAAATTACATACTATCGTAAATGAGCATTCTCCCTATGACGATTTTCCTAAAACGATTAATGTTTATTATATAGCTGTAAACAAACGTATAATATTTTACAATTAGTATCCTTATTATACTATAATATGGTTATGTATTTTTTTTTTGGATTATCATCGAAAATGAAATTTGTAAATGTCAGCGTGTGTAGCAAGGAAATAAGTTTACAGTTAACTTCTGAAATAATACTGAGGGAACAAAGTTAGTTTCATTTGAAGTATAATTTACATTCATACAAATATGACAAGATTATAGATTAATATTAAAATGGAATAGATAGTACAAACATTTTTCTAAATTATGAAATAATACTGCAATTTAGCAGGCTAATTTTGTGTAATAGAAAAGTTTTTGAGACCACTTGATGCTTTTTCCTGTTTAAAAGTTGATAGAATCTCTTGCACTTATCGATTTTTCTTCTATATACTGGACTCGAAAACTTTTCTTATTTTGATAAAAGGTTTTGATTTAAAACAATTTTATTCTATCTCAGTATGCAGTGCATGCGGAGTGTAATAAGTAAAAATCGCATATAAGCGAATTCAAAATAACTTTTACAATTTTTGCACGTTTAATATTTGTGTTATAAAATCTAAAAGTTACTTTATCTTTCAGGAATTATAAGTTTATAAATTATTTTTTTTTAACGTTTAAACGTTTTTTCTTTTTACTTTATATAAATGAACTTTTTTTGTAAAAATGACGATGCATGACTGAACAAGTTTTGTTCTGATGGCATTAATAACAACGAAAACTGTTCTTATATCCTCTTAACCTACTTTTGCATGTCGATTGTAACGTTTTCCTTACAATCTCAACAATGCATGGACAATTTTGTATCCTAGGAAACCAAGTTTTACCTGTACAAAAATAATAAGTACATTGTTTATCTTTTATTGTCTTTTTACTTCAAGTCAGTTTTGCCAAAAAATAATAGGAACATCACTATCTATACATTCTATACCTTTAAGACGTATAACTTAAGTTTAGCTATAGCGCGAAATCTCAGGATGACGAATATATTTTTCTATTGTAATATAACATTTTATACAATGCGCTGTTTATTACTAACATTAAGCTGATCACTAAGTGCCTTTTATTATCTGTCATAAAATTAAAAACTTTTATATTATGATATGCATATTGCTAATTGCATACATAAATTTCATAAAAACAAAATATTCTTATATTAATGATTCGTGATTCATGATTTCTGTTACAACAGAGATTAACTAAGTATTAAGATTATATAACATTTATTTATCACTGTATGCCTTTATGGCTTATACTATAATATGAGAAGCTAACGTTCCTTATATTATTTCTATTAGCGTCTTTCTTTCAACAACGCGCATGTTATTTTACCAATTACGAAAATGATTTTGTCTATATCTAATATCTACAATACCTGGAAATAAGTATTCAATCTTACAAATTATCAGAACAACCATGACTTTCGATCTGAATAGGTAAAATTTGAGAGAAACAGATTTTAATATCTTTTCAATAAATGTTAATTTTCATAATAATTAGCATTTATTTAATAGCATTGAACGAATTAAAGAAATGCAAATTAATGCACACGTTATACATCAAGGATTATTCGCAATGTAAGAAATATATGTAAAAATAAAATTTAATTCTCTTTATAACGAAAAATATGCTCAATATTTCAGTTAATTAATTTGTTGCTGTTGGTTCAACTTGTTCCGTTTTTTCTTTTTTTTTAGAATTGCTTTCTTATATACAATTTATTATACAAAATTGTTTTACTTATAATTAAAATAACGTCTTAAAATTAAACAAGCGAATATCTCAATGCGATTAGACGTATGAAATTTTGAACTTTTTTAAATACAGAGTTATAGTTATTTTATAATGAACTACGTTCAAAATAATACTTAAAACGTGTATGTATTTTTTTAATTTGTCTGTTAAAATACTATTAAATAAGTACTATAACTATGCCGAACTCTTGAACGATATAAGATAATAAAATTAAAAATCTGTTTTTTTAAGTTTAGATTAAATACCTCTTTGAGATACAATACAAGAAAAGCTCTCGAAAAAACAATTCAATATAAAAAGACTAAAGAGAGCAGCGGCGCAGTTAACAAGCGCCTCTTTGTAAGTATCACAGAGTTTTCTTCGAAAGAGTCATGACACTAGCAATTGTTAACATGGATATGACAATTTCCAATCGTGACAAATCGTAGTTCCTAAATTTTTTATTACATTCTGTTAACGCATGTTTTGGCATATTGTAGTTCTGTCTTGTTGCTTGTATTTTTTGTAGTCGGCATCATTGCTTTCTCTCGTTTCAGTGTCGAATGTATATTTATCTCCTTTTAAATGCAAAAATTTTTAAAGATTTCAAGCAGCGCGAACATACCTATCGAAAATTTCATTTCAATATCGAGAACAATTGAAGAACTCTGTGCAAAAACCAGTCAGTTCCATTTTTTAGTGAATTCAACGGTTCAAATATTCCTTACAAAAAAAGCGAATAATTTTATATAATAAATATTTATATATTTTAACGATTTTCATAAAATATTTCGCACATACTTGCACAATCGCTTTTTATTAATACTGTAGTAAGTTTTAAAAAACTAACTTAAATAGTTTTTGCATCGAGCTTTTTAATTGCTATGAATATAAACATTCATGTTGCTCAGGTAATACGTTAGTGTTCATTTATTGCAGGATTTTGCAATTTCCCAAAGATTGACGTTAATAATTAATATACACGTTGACTTAAAAAATGTTTCTTCCAAGTCAAACTTAAAAGTTAACTTCGTTACTTTATTAAACTTTAAAGCAGCTAATCTAATTCGTATCTATGATTCACAAGGGAAGCTTGTAAAATGCTATTATGTGCGATTATTTTCTGATTGACTGAAATGTGCAACTCTATATGAAACAATGCATTTTTTAGGGAGGGGATCTTCGGAAGAAATCATACAGCTATCAGGAATACTTTCATGTTACTGTCATTGTTTAATTTGGTACAAATTTTTAAATTTACTGTCTGATTATATCTATAAGATCAAATTGTTTTATATATTGTATTATATTATTTTCTTACATTTTTTTACACGAGTTCGTGTAATAAACGTTTATTATATTTCAATGTGCTTTATAAAACGATATAAATTAATAAAATGTAATGACGTAAAATATACAATTAATTTATAAATGAACTGAATGAATAAAAATTCAATTGATTTAATAATTAGATATTAATCGATTAACTTATTAATTTAATTAAATTGGACAATATGAGATAATAAACTCAGCAAAATATTTTGTTTTGAAACATATTGAGTTCTTTATATCTCGAGATTTGTATCGTTTTATAAAATAAAATAACACATTCTAATATACTTTTATTGCACAAACGTATTACTTTTTGCAAGGGCGTTATATTCGCAAAAGATAAAGAATATGCATGAATGTCTTTTTAAATGAGAAAGAGTGAACGAAGTTACGAAATACACTAATAGCATAATAAACTTTAAACTAAAACAGTTTCATATTGCTTAAGTAAATTTACCCTTTAACATAAATTGTTTTTATTATTATTATTATTATTACTATTATTAGAAATGATTAACTGATTATTATATATACTTTCTATTCTTACAGTTTCCATATCATGTATAATTACGAAGAATGTTACTTTGTGCACGATCTAACTCGATATTTTCAGCGAGCGCGACATAGTCCTGTGTGTGTAAATCAGCGAACTTAGCTCGTAAGAATCTCTTCGTAAAAATCGAAACAATATCTCGAAGTACGTGTTACCTAATTTCGTAACGAGAGTAATGCATCAACGTATTAATTGTGATTCGATTGGAAAATTATTGTTAATGTTGTATTATTTGTATTTTTCCTTAAATTCATCATTGAATTTACTCCTAACATTTTGTGAGATAATATTACAAAATTAATAAAGATGAGAGTAAGAAAAATGTATTTACTAAGCGTTCTTAGTAAAGAATCACCTCGAAGTATTCCAAATTAAAATCCGAATAACATCACCGTTTTAATGATAAGATGCGACTTAAAATTTGTGTTTACGATGTTGGATGGAGAAAAAATTGACAGGTCACATTGATCATATACAGGGTTGATAAATAATGCATCACTTCTAATTTCTTTCCATCAGGAGCGTCGTAGAAAAAAGTTGATATTATTGTTAGTTTACATCCACTTCCTCAGAGGGCAGTAGTGCGCGGCAGTCATCTGTCTCAAGAATCTCAAAGCACAAAGGTGTGATTTGTAACGGAACTAAAAGGAGTTCTTGATTGTAATTTGCATCACTATTTTGGATTTCGAGCTTCAGAAAAGAGGGGGAAATTTTTTATTGATTTTGTTTCGTCTGATTCTATCTTGAAGATGTTTGTGGCTCGATTACATTGCTCGGTTCTCTTAGTGCGAATGGAGGTGCTCCGAAGTTAAATGAGGAACAATAATATAATTCTTCGCGAACGGTGTCGCCGACTAATAGATAACCTCTCCAGTGTCGTAAATAATTCCGCATGTTATTACGTCTGCGAAAGCTATTATCTTACAATAAATTCACGAATTCTTTTTTAGATCCACAAATATAGCTCGCAATATTTTCATAATATTTTAGTCGACTATAGATAATGTACATACAATAGCGTGTAACAATGCATGTAATGGCTACGCATAATAGTTATTAAATAAATAATCAACTTCCATTTACAAAAAGGCATTTCTTTATTCGATCGGCACCATTTCAATTCCTTCTATACGTATATATTACAGGAAGTAGTCCTGTGCAACACAAATTAATTCTTTTTTACGTTTGTTCATCGCTTTCAGATACTTGCGCAAATAAGCTTTTAAGCACAGTGAGACAATCGAAATGCAATAGACGATTGCATAGAAAAGAAAGTCGGCGCTTATGCTTCCGATTATTTACAATTGAATATATTTTTACAGGATTCTTTACACTGATCAATACTATGCTCTTTTGATTTCTATCTGCAAGATTTGAACAATCAGATATAAAGAAACATCATGGAGAAAAATTCATATATTACAATAATTTCTAATTATCCTTTTTAATATTTTAATTATAATTACTATAGTGATTAATAGGGTGCATTTGTAGCAAGTTTCTCTTACGATTTTTCACATTTTTATGCATCTTGTTTCTAAGACCTTTTATTGGTTTATTCGATAAGATTGATCATTTAATTTGAATTATTTGAGAACAACTTACAATTATAATAAAGTTCAAGAGTTAATTTGATTTTTTTTAATGCTCTTGTTTTACTTGATTGACGGTTTTTGTAGAGTCTGAAAATTTAGCTTTCACGCATGCTTTTTAGGTAAGATTACCAATATAACTATTTTATAATATAAATGCGTTTTATATTTGCAAATAGTTTCTGTAAGAATATTATATTGATATGAAATAATACAAAATATATCTATTTTAGGTACATTTCAAAATAATTAAAAAATGAGTGCAAATATCAATCTACAACCAAGAAAGAAAATTAATCTTTTATATCGATATGGATATGTTCTATTGATGCTCGCATGCATGGTACTTGCAACTATTCAATCACATATTGGCGCAACAAACGGTATAAACACTTTTCAATAAATACTTCAGTAAGGAAAAAAGAAATATATGTATACACGTAAAGAATTTCTGCAATATCATTATCCTCATTATCAACTGAAATACTAGTGCATTAATATTACAGCATTGTGTCTCTCGTTGCAGGTATAATCAACGGTAACTTTATTATTCGCTATTTCGCTGTGCCTTTAATGTACTTAGAAGCCGGATTATCATGCGATCCCAAGTCTCTTTACTCAACATTGAGGGACGGCTATCTTCTGACATTTGTGATGGTTTTCGTATATATTTTGATGCCCTTTTTAGTACGAATCGGGACATACTTGTTAATGACCTATGCGAAAGTTAATATATGGCTGCTAAAAGGAATGGAGGTGATTAAAAATATTTGTACTTAATTAATCCTTGATGACACACAAATTAAATCAATGTATATATATATATATATATATATATATGTGTGTATGAAAAACAAACATATATTATGTACTTACAGGTAAAAAAGATGACACAATTATTAATATACTTTTTTATTATTTACTTAATATATCTTTAATTATTAACACTTATATCTTTCAGGTCCTTTACTGTATGCCACCGCCATTTAGTACTGGACTTGCTTTGTGTCGTTTGGCACAAGCTGATTTACCTACGAGCGTAATTACCACGCTAGTGTCGCACTTTGGAGGATTATTCTTATCTCCTATTTTATTGTATCTAATGGTAAAGCTTTTCATCAACAAGAAGTAAATTTTCTTACTATAGAATGTGTTACATATTCACTCTTGTTTTTACAATTTATATTATTTAATGGAGAGTTTACTTTCTTAAATAGCTATTCTAAAAGATTATAAAATACCAAGAATAATTTTCTTAACAGTTAGGAACATCTACTCCACCATTAGTTGGGATCAACATTAGAGAAATTATATACAGCACACTTTTTCCCTTGGGAATGGGCATCATCCTCCGGATGTTCATATTGAAAAATAAATTCTTGGATGTTAATACAAGTTGGTTTTCCCAAGGTTTATTGCTGATAATAGCATATCACTGGTTTTGCGATGCTGTTGTGGCAGATGCTTCATCGTTGCAAGCAGTCGATGTACTGTTCTGCGTACTTATTGGTAAAATATTTAACTTATATAATTTCTTAATTATTTCTCATCTTGGATTCAACGCTATATATGTATCTTTTCAAGCATGCCTGGCTCAGATCTTTCTTAGCAGTTTATGCTGGATTTTATGCTCCCAGTGGTTACCACGAAATGTTCTGTTGGCTGCATTATTTACCAGCACTCACAAATCCGTTAGTCTCGGCGGTTGGATCTTACGTGGAGCATATCACGGCTCAGCTCACGGGCCAGCAGTGAATTTACCATTGAGGATATTACCTGTTGCGCAATTGTTGCTAGGTAGTTTGTTAGCCAGCTGGCTGGCTCCATGAAAAAAAAACTGAATCAGTAGAATTACGGATAAATTTTAGAAGGAATTTAATGACATTGAATTATTAAAAATTTACGATAAATAAAACATGAAATATTGAAAAATAGATAAATTTAATAAATATATCAAGAACGTCAACATTTTCATAAATTTTTTTAAGACTTTAATTAGGTAAATTTGATGCAGAGAATAATTTTTATGTTATCAAACTACAATGTAGTTTTATTCGTTTGTTAAATTAAATTATCTGAAATGTTTTACGAATGTTTATGAATTACATTTTAAAATGAATAATTTTGCGTACAAATATTTATATATTATTTATGATCATTACATATTGTATAATTCAATACTTACCTTGAAACTAGATGGAATGGTTTGTAAGAATTATATTACTGTTTTAGTCTGGATTGAAAGAATTTATGTAAATAATGCGCGAAATATTTCATATGTATATATATATATAGATATATCTCATTGCGTTTTTTTCAGTAAACTAATCCACTGACATCTTAAAAAAAAAAAAAAACAATAAAGATGATACATTGTACTGCTCATTATTACAAGAATCGTTTTAAATACAATAGATAAAAGTCAACAGCCAATCGAACGAGATGTTATGACTTATGATTGAACCTCATATAATATAGCTATTTGTATAGTATAAATTACAAATATAATTTCCTCATTCTCGAATGAAAGTTCTTAATATTCTCGAAATTACAAGCTCCTACTTATCCTAAATCCGTCTACCATGTACGAGCCTTTAAAACAACAAGAGCTAGAAAAACGATTCGAGTTCTACGTACAAAAGAAGAGGACTTGTGTGAAACTCAAAATGACAGGTGTTCTTTTTTTTTTCTTCCCATACAAAACATAGCGATTTTATTCTACAAATAAATTTTGGTTAGTTATTCCTGTTCGAAAACTTGCATGTTGATTCTCTTTTTCTTTCTTTTTTCTTTCTCTATTTTGTGATGCGCCACTTAATATGGTACATCGTACCCGTCATTGGTGCGCATGTGTATTGTATATTCAATAATATTAACAAATAGTGTAACGCTCATGATAACGCTGATGAGCATGATGTAATTCGATTTCTTCGTGAAAATGGCAATAGATGCATCAAATGGCGGTGCAGCAATGTAGGCGTAAGTACCAGGTCGCATATGACGATCGGCCCGGATGATCACGCAGTCGTTACATTTGACACCAAGCTCCTGTCACAAACGGCGCTGACGCTGATGCCGATGCTGCTATCGCCGCCAGCTGCGTGACTCACCATCTTCATCTTCTTCTTCCTCGTTCTCCTCTAAGAGTAATGCCTCCGTGCCCTGAAAAAATCATTAATGCTTTTAAAAAAACTAATAAACAATGTAGAGATGTTCTGACGACAGAACATCTATATGAATAAAATATGTATTACCAGACAGTTTCGTTAGCCTATATTTTCGACTGCACTCTCGTCGATCTGTGCCTAATAATTTTTCACTTTGTTTCACCAATACCATAAGAATGTTTTAAATTGGCCTATTAGCGATGTGCACAACAAGTGCGCAATCAGAACCCTCCTATTTATTATATAAGGAACACAGCATGTTGTATCATAACTGAATTCATAATTTCAGATAAATAAAACAAAAATTATCCTTATTAAATATTTTCTTGCCTATTTTCGAAATTTAAACAAAAGTCATAGAACCATCTTGATAAATGAAAAATCTAAAATTTTTTTTAATTTTTCAATATGTGTTAGCAAAAAATTTTTTTTTAATTTGTTTTATAACTACTTGTGAATATTTTACTTATTATTATTCTAATCAAAATTGAAATTTTATATATATATATATATATGTGTGTGTGTGTGTGTAAAATTATATTTATCATGTAAATTTTATGCTAAAACTTACTTCTAAGTCAATATCCTCATCTGCGGTAGGTGCGGTTTGTTCAGAACGAGATGAGAGTTGTATAGATGCACTCGAGTTAGTAGCTCCTCCACGATGTAAATGATGGCCGGATACCCAAGTTATTGATAACAGTCTGTCTTGAAATGTACGACCTTTCACAAGAGCTACTTCAGCCTCCTTTCTTGATTTGAAATTAATCACAATCGAGGGAGTTGCATCGTCAACTATTTGATTCACTATTTCACCAAATTGCTGAAGCACAAAAAAATGGCAATATTAGTTGCATGTCGTACGTTTATTAAAACATTAATGAAAGGAATACATAAAGCCTTCATAATTATACAATAACAATATAAAAATATCAGTTATTAGAAAAAAAAACAACAAAAATTAATCTAATGTTGATATTTTTATTGATAAAAGAGAGAAATTTATGAGAAATAATTAAAACTACTTCAGGAATTGGAAATGTAGCATACATATAACATTTTGTATATCCTTTAGTTATTTTTAAGCGATAAAAAACTGTGGATCCGTCTCGTTTCATACATGATGCGCACATGAGGCATCGTTTTCGCGAACGTTAAATAAAGATAAAACGATACATTATCGTAAAACGGAAAACGCACCTTATATAGAAGTATTATAGATATTCTAAATCTTACTTGAAAATGTGCTAAGACCTCCGCCTTCTCTTCAGTTTCATAACCGGAGACTAGAAGACTTGTTGGCCGGTGATCTACTGAGACATGAGTGAAACTTCCTCTGCCGCGACCTCTGAAGGATATCGTATGCGTACCGCGTGCTACTCGACTGACTTTTGTACCTCTACCCACGCCGGGACTCGTGTTCAAACCCAACGCGGCTGCTTGAGCTCGAAGTTCGTTCAATCTCTTTTGCAACTCGCCAGCATCTTGGCCCTCTTGCTGTGCGGTCATTAAATCTAACTCGGCGTCCAGTATCTCCTTCTGGGCTTGCTCCCTAGACTTGACCTGTGACTTGTTACCACCAATCTGACCGTTTGCGGCCAAATCCTTGCGCAAATTGTCGACCGACTGCTGCATAGTCTTTATCGTCGGCATGATTGATTCCTTTTGCTCCGGATTCTTTTCAGCCTTGTCAATCAAGGCACGTAATTCAATCAGATGCTTATCTAGTAACTCTTGTTTTCTTTTGCGTAGATCAGCAGTCAGCTTCATCGCCTCCTTACGTTTCTCCTCCTGCTTTTTCTTTAGTGTTTCCTTCGCCGCTAATATCTCCTGTGTTTTCTTTATTGCGAGAACTTTGTCCTCTCGAGTAGGAATAACGGCAGCTTTAGGTGAAGTTGGAACTAAGGCTTGCGTGACTTGTTCCTCAGTCGAACGACGAGTGGGAACATACTCGTTATCTTCAGTTTTTGCAGATAATGTTACCGCAGCACCTAATCTTTCTTTGACAGAGGGACGGCATCCTGAATATAATAAAATTCGTAGTTACTAAGTCGCTTGACAATTTAACGTCTACAATATTTATTGTGAATAATAAAAGGCTTACCCGGTGGCACATTTTCAATAGCTCCACTAGCCGCATTATTATTGACATTATGCCAAAATACTTTAATAAATCTATTATTTAACACAGCCTCTGCGCTTCTGTAAGCAGACTTTGCTTCGGCTGGTAACTGAAAAGTAACCAAGGCTGCCTCAGGATCGCCGCCAAAATTAACTTGAATATTTACAATTTTACCAAATTTGGAAAAATGATTATTCAATTGAGTTATATTGTTTAAGCTTCGAGGAACCTTCTTCAGTTCGAGAGAGCAATTTGCCGGATTATGCACCACTCTCTGTTTCGGTCCTAGACGATTAAAGTCGAACGTTTGTTTGCGTTTTAGTGGATTGCTTTGGGTATGAGTTATTTCTGACGAGTTTGTGTGGGGAATAACTGGCACACTGATCAATTCTCTTTGTCCTCTGCCATAAATCCCAGGCGCAGATTGTGGATGTCTACCCCATGGCATTCGTGGCTCCATGCTAGGTGCATCTGGATTATATTCTGCAAAAACATCTATCATATTTAATTCATTACATTTTAGAATATATGAAATACTGCGCCTTAAATTGTATAATACTACAATATACAAAATATTGTGCTTTTAAACTGAATAATATGCTACAGTGTATAATAATAATATAACTTTTTATATTTAGTATTTTTTTTGTAATTTGTCTAGTTTAAATCAAAATTACAATTTTATGCATGTATTAACACTTTGCGATTCATGTATGTATTACATTGTTGAACTGTTTGACTGAAACAAAATAAATATTGAATTGGAAGAAAAGTTTTGCAGTTTTTGTTAGCTCAATACTCACACTATATGTGTGTATAAAATATCTTAGTCAAAAATAAACAAAATTTAAATTTAAAAAAAAAAGTTTAAAACGTAAAATCTCTACTTTCAAAAGGTCTTTATAATTTTTTAGATCATATGAATTTGACAATTTTTACATATAGAATATTACAAGCTGAAAAAAGAGAAAATTTTCTTCTCACTTTATGGGTCTGTCATATACCAAAAAAAGAATTTGCGAAAATTTTCTAACATGAAAGCTTAAAGTTTTTCTTAAAAATTGGTTTTTAAAAATATTCCTTTTTTGTTCCTGAGTTTTTCACGAATTAAGTAAAGAAACATTTTGATTTTAATTGTTTATAGCTCTGTTAAAAATCATTGTACCGCAATTGAAAAATCAAATAAAGCTAAAACTTTACTCTATCGAATAGTGTAATCGCAATTTTTTAAACGTACAATATACAATTTTGAGCTAATAAAATATCGCAGGACTTTTTCTCCAACCTAATATATTATGATATAAATTGGAGTTGCATATTTTTTTATTATAGATAAATATGTGTCAATATAGGACATGTTGGGATACACTATCAGTACTAAAAGTTTTTAGTTCACACTACATATATTTCAATATGAATTTTCAGTATTGGCAATGTATTATCTAAACGCGATCATAACAGCACCTATTAAAATTAAAGTATGTACAATGTTTATTTTTAGTTTTTATCTATAACAATTTCATGCAATAATAGTTGTATTTACTTATCGATCGGACTGATGTTTTTAAACAACGTCACGTGCTCTCGGCGAATCGCAAAGAGTAAATAATTTATATACAAAACGTAAAATGTCTATGTGAGTCTCCATGGTTACACGGAGGCGTCTTTTACTTGTATTAAAATTATTTTTGCCATTAATGTAACTATATTTTACTTTATTTCAATTTAATACTTTATAATTTGACTAATATTTTAAATTGTTTAAAAATTATAAAATTAATAATTTTGTTATATATACATATATATGTATATATATACAGTTAAAAATATAGCTTTCTTTAAAAAAGAAATGCTTTATTACGACATGTATTACGTAACATGAGACAATTACAAGATGTGAAACACATACCCATATTAGAATGATGGTTTCTTAAGTGAGATGGTGGTAAACTGGCAAGAGGAAGATGTGGCGGTGGTGGATTACCGTTAGGACCCTGCGGTGGTTCTGGTACCGTGGATACTGGAACTGTTCCTGGAGCTTGAGCATTATGCGGCCCAAAACTCAAAACACGACTAAGTGCCACATCTTCTAACACAACTGGGTCTGTTCCATGATCATAAGGACAGAGATCTCCTCTCATACAATATCCTTTTTCTATAAACATACAGATAAATTAGTAAATAATATTTCAATATGTTATTTGATAACAAAAATTCTTATAATTTGAGTCATTCTATTTTTACAATCAATCTAAATCTTTATAGAAATGGCAATTTTTTCATAATAGCTATCTTCTAAATTGTCAAGAGATACATACCATCAAAATCTCTGCAACGTCTCTTTGCTTGTTGTTGAAAAGAACCTGTCTGATTATTCGGAATACTACCAGCAACAGCGACAACACTTTGTATCGATTGACTAGTCGTAGACAGCCTCATGTCTACATCTCCGTGATTACTATCTTGGGTCGGTGTACCACCACCAGGACTCCCCTCGATTCGTTCTGTTCTATCTACTTCTATCCTTTCGAAGCGATCGATTTTCTTTCTCTCTATTGATCTTGAACGTGAACGGGATCGAAGCGGCGTCGGAGATCTGTTCCTAAACCTCGCTCGATGATCGCGATTATCTGGACCGTCGCGTATTCTAGGTCGTATCGGTGATGTACTGCGACTCCTAGTACGTCTAGAAGATAGATACAGTAAAATATTTGCGGACTATTTAAAAACTCTAAAAAAAAAGTAAAGACTCAATAATTAATTTTAAAAAAGGCCTTCTATGATAAAAGTTTTTGATTAATGAAAAAAATTCTGTTAGACATTTCTAATACAAATAAGTACGTGATCGTACCGGCGATCATGTCGTCTGGTACTGATAGGTGGAGATTCATTTCGCCATGGGCGACTTCTATCTCTTTCTCTATCACGCCGAATATGTTCTCTACTTCTAGATCTACGTCTGTCCCTTTCCCATGATCGTGATCGTGATCGTGTTCTCGATCTCATTCTCCCACTCCTATATTTTACATAGTATGAAAATTCCAATATTATTAAATACTAAATACTAGTAAATGTGTTTAGTAATTAATATACTAAAATTCTTGCACATTTTTGCACTCTCATATAAGCATTGATAACCATTCACTTATACGAATATTGATTGTAAACATTGAATCATATGGACGATTTCTTATCTCAAGAGAAAGAGAAAAGAAAGATTACCTGCTTCGAGATCGTTTTTCCTTTTCTTTATCCTTATCTGAATCAGATTTTCTAGTCTCGCGTTTACTAATTACAGCAGGTGCTGATCCATTAATTTGAAGTGGGGCAGAGGGATTTGTAATAATAGGTACTAATGGAACTGTTGCATCTATTATTTTCTCTGTTGACGATGATACAACTGGAGCTGATGGATTTACACCAGGTGGTGTCCCACCACCATCTGGATCATTCTTAGGCGGTGGAAACACATATTCCTGAGTTTCTAACGTCTTGAAGAGCAACTCCACAAAGTTTTTAGTTTCTAAAAACAATAATTGCAATACGTTTTTCATATCAGGAGAGTGATAAATAATCAGTTTTCGAATTTCTTTAGAATATTTTGTACAAGTGTACCTTTTTGCAGAAATACATCCAATTGTTCAACCATGTCACCACGGAGTTCTTCCAGAGTTTTATCTTTTTTAACCAACGCATAGACATATTTGGCCAAAGCAGCAGGATCTGCATCACATCTAGCAAAAGAAAATAAATTTTCTTTTGTTTATAAATTTATTTGACAATGTAAAAAAATAAATTAATAAAACACAAACACAAAAATATTTCAATTTAAGTAAAATTATTATTTATCATTTACAGCTTATATATGGAACAAGAGAAAATATAACCCATAATTAAATATAACTCATATCTATTTTAACTTACAAATTTTGTAAACTATAAAATAAACCAACTGTATGTATATATAAATAACTTTACATTAATAGCAACTAAATCATCTACCTTTTTAAATAACTTCATATTTTGCTTTTACTTCTCAATTTTTTTAATTCTTTAAGTCATAATCCTATTATTTACAATTTGTAATAAAAATTAAAGATAGTATAAAGCTTGTTTTAACTAAAAATTTGTTCTAAATAAGATGTTAGAAATCACTAAATTATAAAATGTATAAGAAACAGTTTATATGTCATATATCAATTATAATATTGAACGCAAAGACGAAAACTTAACAAAAAAAAGCATGTATGTCTTGTATTTAATTAGTTTTTGTCCTTTTTATAGGTAGAAAAATAAACTTCTTCGAATAATTATGTAATAAAAATTACATAAATAAATCAATACGGTCAAGTAGAAAATTATGACATTATGTTTATTCATAAAGCTGCTTATTGAAAATAAGAATTGTATCCTAAAACACTCAAAGCATACAATATCTACTGGAACTCAATGAAATAATCTCCTAATCATTCTAATCATTGTTGAATATAACGAGCTATAGTCATCATAAGTAAAAATACCAAAACTTTTATCTGCTTGATCCAACATAAATACATAATGTTGTTGTATCCTGCTTGCAATGTATCAAACGAGGGACCAACAAATAATAATATAATACGGTCCCAGAATCTAATATTCGCATTCACTTGATAAATTGGTTAAGAAGAGAGATGATTATTGACTACGTTTGGCAGAACAAAGCTGAGCAATGCTGGTGCAGACGAAGACAGGTGCAATGGTGTTCGGGGAGAGGAAGATACAAAAGTGATGATTGTCGATGCAGCCCTTCCGTGTAAATAGAATATGTGAAACACGGAGAGTGTGGCACAGCGTTAGCCACATGTACGGCCATTTACGAACACCGAGCGCATATACACATACGCACGAAGTGGTGCACTCTCTTCAGGGGGGTACAGACTGGCCTACTTACAACGGTTCCAACACGGCGGTAAGCCAAGCTTTGAACATATCCGGATTGTCGATTATCATTCTCGGTGAGTTCCGTGTCACGGTTTAGCATAAAAGGCCTCGCGGATACACGTCAGTCACACAGGGTATCACAAGAGAGCGTGAAGACAGTACCCTCCTAAATGAAGACAGTCGCCATTCTGAAATCGGTCGCTATTGCATTGGCAAGGAGCAGTCGCGAATATCTAGACGGCGTCCAGTTTGAGAAAATGGTCACAGAAACAGCTGCTGCCACGTTTAAAATCATGTATCCACGGAACTAGAATCAGAGAGAAACCTGGGCTGGAGTCGCATGGAGCGGAAATTACAGCGGAACGGAACAGCGAAACCAATTAGAACTCTACAATTATTCCGTTGCTTTACTTTCTGTGCGATTGTGATTGGTCTCGCTGTTCCGTTCCGCTGTAGATTTCCGCTCAATGTGACTCCAGCTGAGAGTGGACATTTTTGCTGGATTCACACTGCATCCGATTTTCGTCGTACGACGACTCTGCAACCAATCAGAAAACAAAATTTTGCTTCGTACCGATGTTACGATTTTTCTGATTGGTTGTAGAGTCGTCGTACGACGAAAATCGGATGCAGTGTGAATTTACCGTCATCACAAACATTACCGTCCTCTGAAGAAGTGAATGTCAACTACACAACAATATCCACTTTCTTTCGACGCTCTTGATGGAAATAAATCGCTGAAAATCGTTAAAATTTTTATTAATTTGATTATAGATTTTATAGTTATTCAGCGATTTAATGATTTATTTCCATTAGGAGCGCTGAAAAAGATGGATATTTTTGTGCAGTTTACATCCACTTCTTCAGAGGGCAGCAGTGCGCGTTACAGGAAAGGCTCTCATATTTTCTCTCAGGTTTCTTTCTGGTTTCAAGATTTTCAAGCGTTTCGCTCACTATCCCTACCATTGCCTACAGTCACACGAAGATTGGAGAAGATTGAGGGATTTGAGGGTAGGGTAGTTGATTTGATATCTGTCATTAATCATCATTAAACAAACTGATGTGATAATAGAACGATAAGCTACAATGGATGCAAGTGAAACCATCACAGAATTGAAGAACAGTGAAGCGAATGTAAGCAATATAATCTAAATATGTAACCACATATGAAGAAACATTGTGTTGAAATTGACATTCATGACTTTTTTTTCGCAGATGCCCGTGCCGAAAATAAAACATGATTGGTATCAGACAGAGACCCATGTAATTGTAACAATACTCGCCAAGAATGTGGAAAATACGAAAATAGGATATGGAGAATGTACAGTACGTATCTCCAGTGGCTTATCAACTATTGGATGAAACCTTAGAGGATAGCATATCTCACAGTCATTCTAAGATACATACATTTTCCTTTTTTTTTTTCGAAGCATGGTGCTTTTCAGCAAAAGATACAGATGACATGATACAATAACATATAGTGAGTTATTCTGTCTTTGTTGTTTGTCAAACATTTAACACTTTATTCTATGCAAAAAGGTAACTATTGTGTTATATTGTGTTTGAAAAGCATCAAACTGTGTTTTATTCCAAGTTATGGTATATCAGTGTGTGTGTGCGTTTGACCTTTTGAGAAAGAATAGACCCAATATATGGTATTTTTTTTTTAGATTACTTAAGCTGTAGACTTTCAATATCTAGATATCTAAATAATGTTTAAAGCTGGTATTCATAGTCGGTTCTTATTTCAAGACTACCTTAAGTAATGTCTTAAGATGCTAATGCGGTCCTCTGATTGGTATTGTAAGATTGTATCTCAAGACTTAAAACGATCTTGAATAAGAACTGACTATGAATACTGACCTAAGATGGCTGGATAATCAATTACTTTGACAATATAGTTGAAAGTATGTTGTCCTTAAATAATATTAAAGATTAAAACATTTATATACACACACACACATACACATACATACATATATATATTAATGAAAAGAAAAGTAAAATTTAAACAAATCTGAAAAAACAACTTTACTACATTATATATTATTTTTCAGTTAAGTGTATCTGCAAAGTTACCATCTGGCAATGAATATAGTTTAGAGTTAGATTTGGCCAACTTTATAGTGGTGGAACAATGTACGTACAAAATATTGCCGTCCAAGATAGAAATCAAACTGAAAAAACGAGATGATATTAGATGGACGACACTAGAAGGAAATCCAGTTTTAAATCAAGTAAAACCTATACCAACTGGTAAGTTGTAAATCATTTATTACTTTATCAAAAAAATATCTAAGGCAAAACATAAGTCCTAAAAATAATAAAATATGATACAAAGATGCAATATTCACCAATAGGTAAAATATTTATTAAATGTAAAATATAAATAGTAAATGGTTGTTCAAAATTAATTATCAATTTATTAATTTACTTATTGTGCCATTAAAAATATCCAACATTTCTAATTGGCATAATAAGATCTTAATTCTTTTGTTACTATAAACAACTAGTCATATGATGCTCACATTTTTAAATAATATAAATACAATATCTATTTTAGTAAAAGCATTGAGAATGCTTGTTTACTTGAGGCTTTTTTTATTACAAAGAGTAACATCAGATTCAAATAAGATTTAAGTGTAAATCACTTTGAAGTACATGCGCAGTTTGTAAAATCATATTGTATAATGCATTTCATAGCAGAGGTAGCTATAACTAAAAAAGGTTAAATTTCTGTTTTATATCATTTAGGCCACTTTTCTTTTAGAAGATACCATTATACGAAATAAAGTTCGTTCTATCTTTATTACTTATTGAATGCCAAGAAGTCTAGAGTGATGTGTATATATATATAGTACTTTTTAAAAGGAAAACAGCTTTAGTTATTTCTTCTGCAATGTTGAAGAATTACGATCTATAAAATATATACATGTATATTATTATATTTTTCTAAAACCATGTGTACTATTTAAGAAATACTTCAAGCTGGCAAAGAAGCATCCAAGTATCCAAGCTCCTGTAAAAAATCTAAAGATTGGGATAAAGTTGGAAAGGAAATAGAACAACAAGAGGCAGCAGAAGAAAATGAGGGTGAGGCTGCAGTGAATGCTCTTTTCCAAAAGATATATGGTAGTGGATCCGATGAAGTGAGACGCGCGATGAACAAGTCCTTTGTAAGTAAAATGTTCATTGCTAACAAATTAAGTGGTTACTTTATGAGATAGTTTTTTTTAACTTAAAATAAAACAAACAAAATAAAACAGAAAAATTTTTATCAAGATATTTGTAGTTGCAAGTAAAAAATAATATGTTAGAAATTTAATTATGAGATACTAAATTTCTTACAGATAACAATCGGTTAATAATTAATTATCGATTAATAATTAACTATAAAAACATTGAATATAACGATAATCAATATAATACATTGATAAAAACTATTATTTTTAACTCATATTTTTAATATACAGATAGAATCTGGTGGCACTGTCTTAAGCACTAATTGGGGCGAAGTAGGAAACAAAACAATCGAAAGAAAACCACCAGACGGAATGGAATGGAAAGCGTGGGACTCATAATTTAGAATGATTTTTCAAATTCGATTTTTATTATTTCTTGCATGAATTGACCATGTTTAATTATCCCTATATCACATGTACTGTAATATAAGAAGATATATAAGTATTGTTCGTTTTTTCTCTCGGGAGCTGCTCGGAGTCGCTCTTAACGAATCCAGCATACTTGGATGCAATCCATTTAATGCTGTAAATACCTCAAAACATTCTTTGATTGATCAATTTGTAAAATTTTTTCTTCTGATTGATCAACGAAGCATTTGCAGTATTAAATGGATCATATCCAAGTATGCTGGATTCGTTCAGAGTGACTCCGAGCAGCTTCCGAGAGACAAAACGAACAATACTATATGTATATATACTGAGTCGTCCGGAAAATCCGTGCGAAATTCTCAATAGAATTTTGCTTGAGAATTCTGTATGGACTTTCCGAACGACCCAATATATTGATATGACATTTACTTGAGAGTGATATCCTATTTTTTCATTAATAATGACTTAATAATTTACACTATTTGAAAATGTTTTGTATTATAATTACGTGTAAAATTATTAATGTTTGTTTATATTATAATCTTCATGTAACATTTGAATGTAATTAGATTTATGATTTCTATATAGTTAATTGTACAACGTTATGGTTCCCCAGTTCAAATAAATGCTCACAATACATTTTTGTACATAAATTATAAAAAAATAGAGAGCATTTTACCTAGAGTTGACGAAGACTGCTTTTTTTTTTTAAAAAGAATACAACATTATGTTTTTTTTAAACATGTTTTTAATGCTTCAAATATGTTTATAAAACAGATATAAGAAAATATATTTAAAACATGTTTTTTTTATTAATCCTGACTTTATCTGGCAAGTGTACAGCAAGCATAATGTTAACTATCCTAAGATAAAAGCTGTATTTTACTCTTCATATTTTCACCAATAGCTTTTTTATAACATTCTCAAGTTTTAATAACTGATTATAAAAAAATTTAATAAGTATTATTAAACTGTAGATAAAAAGACTTCACACATTTGATTTGTGTATTTGAGCAATTGTAATTTTTTCATGATGTATATACACTGTTATTTGTAAAAAATATATGATGCACATGTATAAATACCTTTCTTGGCATAACTTAGTCCTGAAATCAACAAATTTGCTGAATACTTTGCAGAAGACACAAATATATTAGACATATTAGATTGATTGATTTCTTTAGTTAAATCTATTGCATTTTCTTGTTTTTTCAATATTGCCTTGGTATTGAATGATTGCAATATTTTCTTAATATCAGATAGTTCATCCATATTCTTTTGAAATAATGATTCATTCTTTTCTTGTGCTGTGCTTATGGTATTCCGTACATCTAATATTCTTTTATTATTAATTATTATTGAACCGATTAATGATATAATTGCTAATGTGGCAGAAGCGATAATAGATAAATATTTATATTTCTGTGCATTTAAGTTTTGGCTGATATGATAGTCTTTTATTGCAGTTGCCAATTGCGTGAAATTATCCCTCTCTTCTTTCTCGGATGATGCCAGCTGATTAACAAGTTTCTTTTGTTCCTGTAAAGACTTGTGCTCCATTATCGTCAATTCTACATACTTGGGATCATCTCGTTTTGTTCGAATTAATTCTGCATAGATCTCTTGCAGTTTATAGGCAAGATCTGTTAACTCTTTATTCAAAGTTCTCCTATCGTCCTGACACTGGAATAGTTTATCCTGAAGGGTAACCACTTGTCTTCTGGCTGTTTCAACTGTATCCATTCCTATTAATTGGTTATACCATTGCCACATTTTAATAATTTTTCCTGGCAATGGTACATTTGTTTCTAATGCCTTAGCATTTAAATCTTGTATTATAATAGACTGATCGTTAAATTTCTACAACATAAAAATTAATTTTATATATAATAGTTGTCTTGCATATTATATTTCTTCAACTATAAAACATCTTTTGGTAATTATATATTACCTATCTTTATTTTTTAAATAAAAAATCTTCAGGTTATTGGATAAATTTAAAATTAGTAGAGAGGAAACCTTGGCTATGATAATAGAAGTTTCATATTTCCTATTTGTTGAGTTTCACAAATGTACAGTCCAATAAGATTCTTTATTATCCCTTTAAAATTAATTTTTTTTAAATCAAAATATAAACTCGACTTATTTCAAGTAATTAATAGCTGAAATTAATTTTTGAATAAAGTTTTAAATTAATACTAAAATATATATTTTATTTATGATATTGTTGTAAGAATAGAAACAGTACAGATTATGAAATAAAAGTTTATAAAATTTGGAATACTGAAGTCTAAGATTCTGAATATAAAATTCGAAATGAGTATTGTATATTGTCACACTTCGTGTGTCTCTAAACGAATCGATCTCAGGAAGTTGATTAAAAATCAGTGTTTATCAGTTGTATGAAATAAAAACGTTAATATATTGCTTACTTTCGCAACGACGTTGTATTTTTCGGTCGCGATGCTCTGCGCTTTTTCCGCGACATTTTCTACAACTCCCTTTGCATTATGAAGCACCCCGTACCTCTTCACTTGTTCTCTTATTACTAGCCTCATTAATTGCCGGCAGCGTTCTATCATTATGTTAAGTGGATGATACGAAAAAATGATGATATGAAAAAATATTACTAAATTAACTGGATTATTAAATGCCGACAGAATTGAAATACAGAGACTAGCTCATCTCTAATCTTGAACTATAATTTGACACAATTTAACATAACCTCCAATCCACATTGTCACGTTGACGTTTTTGCACAAGTTGATTCCGATCTAACTTAACCTCCAACTTACGCTTTAACATGACAAGAAAAATATATAGGAATAATAATGAAAATCATAAATTGCTGTTATTTATTTCTACTCAAGGTTTAATCGTTTTGAGTATCTTTATTTATTCTAAATTTATTTCTACATCAAAGAATCAATACGATTGAATTGTTGCGCCACTCTATGTTTAAATCGCGATTATCTAATCGCGATATCAAAAGTGATTCTCGAAGCGGAATTTGAATTGCGATCACGTAGGCGGCATTGGATTTCACGGATCGCGTTACGTTGGAGTTTCGCGTTCGAAACGCTCTGCATTTTTCTTTGCGATTATTCGCGATTATCAAATTCGAAATTTAATTTCGTATATACAAAGCATTATCATGGGAGTCTCACCGATATTTAGTGATGTAAAATATGTTACATGCGTGTTTATTCATTTGATGTCAATATGACGAGTCGCCTTCATTGATAGTCGGCATTGTTTTCCCTGTTGCTGCTACCCCATGGTGTAATAAGACAAGGTGAGACATAATAGGCGCATAATATTACATAATATTATATAATATTAAATATATATATGTAATATAAAAAATATTTTAATATCCTCTTGGAATATGTCTAAAATATTATTTAATATTAATATAATATTATGCATCTATGGGGTAGTGTTCCTATATAATATAATAATATATTACAGAAATATATCTATTATTGTAGAAACCCTAATTGCTGTGAAAGCGATGTTGATATATTATATCGTTATAGTCAAAGATGAGTCAAAGCGTTTAAATTTGTGATTGCGTCAATATTAATTCTTTATACTTTCTATAAAAGAAATTGTGCGCAAGTAATCGAGAGAGAGAGAGAGATTTTTTTATTTAATCTAATGTCGTAGTTATAATCTTGACATTTATAACTTAGTAATAATTCTTTGCTTTAATTAATTACAATTGCGAATAATTTTCATATAACTTAAATCATATAACAAAGTTTATGATTCAAAATTTTAATGGCAAATACACAAATTTACAAAATTATAGGAAAATCGGAGAGGAAGGAGTATTATTTATGTTATTTTATTAATTATTTATACATATATATATATATATATATTTACTGCATATATAATTATATATTTTTTCATTTTTTCCTTACGTTGGCGTTGCGTCGATTGCGTCCGATAACAAGTACACTTAATGTCATTAAGATGGCAGGAGCATCTAAAAAAGAAATTTTAATCCGTCATCCGTGTTTACAATTCTTACGATATTGTAATATAGGTTAGAATTGTTATTCGTGCCGTGTTTATGGTTCACGTTGAAAATCCACGGTGTGAAGAATTTACGTCGAATTTTAGTTGAAATTATTTAGGTAATATAGTAATAGCCACATTAAATAATAATTAATGTTATCGAATTAATATAACGTTTTTGTAACATAAAAAACGTATCTATATGTTCCTATAAAACCAACTCTACTAGAGAACTGCCAAAAGACGTACCAGAATAAATACTTTGCAGCTTTAAGAGAATCATGAATATATTCGAGTACTTATATATTTACACTGTTTGTAGTACAATTGTTATACGACCATGTATTTATCACAAAGTATAGATTATATAGACTAAATGACATATCCATCTGTTTTATTTGTGTATATAGATTTGTGAGGAAACTGTTTTATTAATTTGACAGATAAGAAAACGCTGACAAAAATGAAAAGAAATTTACGAAGTAATCATAATAAACCAATAATTGAATTAGATTCCGATGATAATGATTGTAAAACATTTAAAAAATCCGAAGATGAGGATTACATAGTAGAGTCAAATAAAAGGGAAAAAGAAATAATAAGTAAGAAACAGACAACTAAGAAAAGAGTGAAGAGAAATACGCAGATCAAAGATGTTAAATCTGTTAAAAGAAAAGATCAAGAAGAAAACTTGGAAACTTCTAGCAACAAGAGACTGAAGGTAGAAGACTCGTATACTGATTCTACAGATGCAGGAGTGTTTCAAGATATTCAGAAAAATTTAGTCAGAACTCATGTAAAGGAAGATAAAAACTCATATGTGAAATTCAATGAAAAATTGAACTCCAGCTTTTTGCAATGCACGGAATGGACCGACGTTGATTACATAAGCGAAGTCAACAATGTAGATAGACGTATCGCAAAGAATGTAGTGAAACTTTTCAAGGAAGACAACACCATACCTTTTATCGCAAGATATAGAAAGAATATGACTGGATCTATGGAACCAGATAAGTTGAGGGAACTTCTAGAGAGTTTTGAACAGTCAAAGATTATTAAACTTCGTGCTGCAACCGTTATTAAGAACATTGATAGATTGGGCAAATGGTCGCCGGAACTTCACTCTGTTATCACATCTGCAAAATCCATTGCTGATATCGAGGATATTTATTCTTTATACAAACCTTCAGCATCGAGACGACTTCTGGCAGAAAAAGCGCGAGGATTGGGCCTAGGAAGTATCAGCGATGCAATTTTACAGGAACGGGATATACCACCGTTGGCATCTTTAATAGACGAACAAAAGGAAGGTTTGCGAAATGAACAGGAAATCAGAAGCGGTATCGTACACATTATAGCGGATGTCGTCAGTAAAGATAAGGACATTTTCGACAAAGTTACCTCCCTGCGGAAAACCTCGCTTATAGACATTCAAACGACGCAATGTAAAACACCGGAAGATTCGAAAAACATAAACGATCAGAAATACGAACAGTACTTTAATTTCAAGTCGAGCGTGAATGCCATTAAGCCCCATCATATACTGGCGATTAATCGGGCTGAATCCCAAAAGATCATCAGCATGAAGATCGTCATCCCCGATGCTTTCGAGCGCGCGTTCAAGAAGTATTGCTTATCGCGGTATACACGAGAGGGAAGAAACAGCACGAAAATGTTCTATTTGGATTTACTCAATGATGGCATTGATCACGCTTATAAGAAATCGATCAAGCCTCAGATGGTACGTCGTATTAGGAGCGAGATGAAGGAAAACGCGGAAAAAGCGTCCATAGAAGTATTCGCGACTAATGTCAAGCAACTGCTGCTCACTCCTCCTGTGCGAGGTAAAATTGTGCTCGGCATAGACCCGGGTTACCGTCACGGATGTAAACTTGCCGTTGTATCGGAACAAGGCGACCTCCTCGAGACCGCTGTGATATATCCACACAACAATTCGTCGGCATTTAAAGAGGCGGCTAAAACGTTAGCGAAATTAGTGCACAAATACAGATGCACGGTAATTGCTTTGGGAAACGCTAAAGCGTGCAGAGAGACCGAGCTGTTTCTGACTAAAGCAATAGAGTCGAATATGTTTGGCTCGCTGAACGCGATGTACACCATTGTTGACGAATGCGGAGCCTCGATTTATAGTTGCAGCCCGCAGGCGAAATCCGAGTTTCCAGATCTGGATCCGAATCTAGTATCGGCTATTTCGATAGCGAGACGCTTGCAGGACCCGTTGGCGGAATTGGTTAAGATAGATCCGAAGCATTTAGGAGTTGGGATGTATCAACATGACCTACCTCAGATGAAACTGACGAAGACGTTATCCGAAGTTAGTATGAATTCACTGTTATATCAACTGATAAAGAATTTGAGAATATAGATAACTTGAGAACTTTCGTTATATAATGAGCTGTGAAATAGATGTGTAAAAAAAGTAATTGCATAATTTTTTTTATTACTAACTCTTTGAAAAAACTAATGTTTCTTTTAAAAAATAAGAAAATTGTTTATATTATCACGAATAATTTTAGAAATCTAAATGGAGAACAGCAATAAATTAAACTCCACTTTATTTTTATTAAAAAAGATTTAATCGAATACTTGAATAATAACGCGATAGTTTTTTTTTTTTCATAAGAGATTCGATTTTTGTATCAAAACTGTTACAGGTTGTCACAGAAGTTGTGAGTTTTGTAGGAGTGGATATCAATACAGCTTCCCATTATCTCTTACAACAAGTAGCTGGCCTTACGGTTTCTAGATCTAAAAGCATCATAGAATGGCGATCCAAAAATGGACCATTCAGAAGTAGACAGCAGTTATTGAAAGTAAAGAGTATTGGTAACAAAACGTTCGAACAGTGCGCAGGATTCATAAGAATTTTACCGGAGACGGCTATGACTAGCGAAACTTCAGAAGAAAGCAAGAAATCGAAGAACGATTTTAATCCCTTAGATCAGACTTGGATCCATCCGGAATCGTATGCGATAGCGAATAAATTCGTAAAATACTGCCAATGCCAATTGGACGATATCGGCACTCCGGCATTTATTGAAAAGATCAATTTTCACGCAAGAACTGGATATGGAAATCTAGCCGCGCAGTTCGGCACCGACGAGACTACAATGGAGACAATAGTTAAAGCTCTGACCATGCAGAAAGACGAGGATATACGATCGAAATTGAATCAGCCGCTGTTTCGCAATAGCGTGCGACGTATTGAAGATTTGGTCGTCGGTACCATATTAAGCGGCGTCGTGCGGAACGTCACGCATTTTGGAGCATTTGTAGACGCGGGCGTTGGTAGGGAGGGTCTTATACACGTCAGCCGTATGAAGAAGGATCTACATATAGGCCAACGTGTGGAAGTGAAGGTAGTTGGCATCGAACTGGCACGTCAAAGGATTAGTTTTGAGTTAAAGGATTAACTATTGCTATACCATGTAATTACTGTCGATTTCTCTTGTCGACGTTATGTATTACAATTAAAAACTACCGGTGTATTTAAGGATATTTTCGTTTATATTACAATTTAATTTTGTATAACTTAATTACGTTTGTGTTTATAATACCATTTACGTTTATATTACAATTTAATTTTGTATAACTTAATTTTAAAACTAAAATATAAAATTGACATTTTATTAATATTACGACATCTGTCGACGGAAGTATAAGTTGTAATAA